CCACCCGTCCTCTTCACGAGTTCCTTACCCCTCGCCTGGACTTTGCATGAGTCCAATTTCGACCTCCCCACCCACCAAAGGCGCTCCAGGAAACCCGGCTCCCCCGCTGGGAGTTCAGATCCCACCCGGAGAGTATGATCTCTGTGCCGCCAGGGACACAGAAAAGCTTTGGTATTTAATAAATATGTAGATATTGATTTACTACACAGTGTGTGTCCTTCCCTGTAAGGTGGATGAGGAGGCGGATGGAGCGTGAGGACATTTCATTAGCTTGTGCTGGGTACACTACATAGCTCCTCCTCCTACTACGCACCTTATAGATCTTCGGGTTAAGTATACACACGCCCTTTTGCCTGTAAGAAACCCAGGCTCAGAGGAGCCAAGCGGCTTGCCTCCGTTTTTGCTATTTCTGTGTGATTCAGCAAGAATTCAGACATTGGGTCTGTTGGGCTCCAAAGCAGGTGCTTTCTCCATGCTGGCCCCATGCTCCTCCAACCTGTCCCTGCCCGCCGTGTGGGGCACAGGTTTCACCAGATACTTGCTGAGAGAATGAATGAAAGTTAGAAGCCACAGAGACTTTTAAGATCTGAAGTGCACCCCACACTTAATAAATGAAGAGGCCGAGGTCCGAGCACTTTGGTCCGCAGGCCTTGAGTGTGGCCTTAGAGATATGTGCTCAGTTTAGATCAATCGCTGCCTGCAGAGAACTTGCAGTCTAGCCGGGCCTGCACAGCTTAGTGGTTGAACGTGGACCTGCGAACCAGGAGGTCATGGTTCGATTCCCAGTTAGGGCACATGCCTGGGTTGCAGGCTCAGTCCCTGATATAGGGCATGCAGAGGCAGCCAATCAGTAATGCTCTCTCATCATTGATGTTTCTAGCTCTCTCTCTCCTTCTCCCTTCCTCTTTGAAATCAATAAAAATATATTTTTTTAAAGAACTTGTGGTCTAAGTTCAGAATACAGACAACTTAAAGATAACTAAGTTATTGAACCCTTACTGCATGGGCCTGGCTCTATAGCCACGAACAGCCTTATGAGGTAGTACTGTTATCTCCATTTTACTGAGAAGCAACTTAAGGCTCACTGAGGTTACTGAGCTAGTGCTGGTCTGGCTCCAGAACCGAAACAGCAGGGCCCTAGAACTCTGGCTCTTAGCTGCTGCTGCAGACCAACTCCTAATACGGAGTAATCCAAGGAGGCAGTCACTGTAGTGGGCATGCACGGGCTGTGGGACCCCAGCCCTGAAGGACAGGTGAAGTGTTCAAGGTGATGCATAGATGTTAAATGGTTGGAGTTACCACAGGGCCACAGTCACGGAAAGGAAACCCCAAGAGGGTGGTGGTGGGGAGAGGTGAGGCTAGAGGAGGAAACAGTGGCCAGATCATGAAGGTCCTTGTATGCCACCACACTCAAGAACTGAGTGTTCTTCTAAATAGCAGGAAGGAGCCACTGAGATGTTCTCTCAAGGGAATCGCCAACTCAGATTCACTCTGCAGAAAGGACACTCTGTCTGTTATGTCCCGGGGATCTTAGGGAAAACAGGGGAGTGGCCTGGGGGCAGAGATAGATGCGTTAGGAAGCTAATGCAGTAAAGAACTAAGGTAGTGACATCAGGGGTAGAAACAAGTGGAGAAATATGAAATGTTTTTAAAATAGATAATCAAAAATAGTGGTTAGCTTGATGAGGAAGAGACGGGAGCCATGGTGACCAATTCCAAGACCAACTTCCAACTGGAGCAGCTGAGATTACGAACCAGAAGGCACGTGTTTGTGGAGAAAGTGGTGAGTTCAGTCTGAGGCATGTTGAGTGGCAGTGCCTGAGGGATGCCTCGATGTTCCATAGACAACGGAGACATGAGGGTCTACAGCTCAGGAGAGGTCTGGGCTGGAAATACTGACTTGGATGACACCAGCAGATGGATGAGGCCACAGAAGGGATGGGAGGGCATGGAGTGGGAAGAGCAAAGGGCAGAAGACAGAAACTGGGAACACTACATTTTAGTGTCAGTAGGGGTAGAAATAAGTGGGCAAAGAGGAAATATTTGTACACCAGGACTGTTCTGGTATACTTTCTACCACCCCAAGGAACTTTTTGTTACCTTTCGATCTCTATTCAAAGAAATAAAGACACATATTTATCCATCTGGTTTATTTGCCAGTAACTGTAATTTTGGATCTAATGGACACCCCTTCTTCAGTTAAATTGCCACTAAAGAAGGTCAGGGGGAGGGACAAGTTCAGAATTCGGGTTGGGAGAGGATTAAGCATGGAGAGGCTGGGATGGTGGTGGGTCAGGGGCTGAAGCCCTCAGGAGTAACTGCCTGGCCCTCCCAGGGGGATGATGAAGACAGAGATGTCATCCCCGGAACCCAGCTTGTTGTTGGGGAGACGCCAGCCACGGTCCCGGGGGGTGCCCCGGGCCCCTAGGACCAGAGCTTGGGCCAGAGCTGTGTACCTGCCAGGAGCACACGTGCACAGTCATGTACCAACATGTCCATGGGAAGACAGATACACAGGCCCTCATTGCTTCCCTTTGCCCCTTCCTTCCCCACTGTCACCCCTCACTGCCCAGGCAGCCCCTACCTGCTGGGGTCATTGGGCTCATAGGTCGACAGCACCCTGTCCACAGTGGCAGCTACCTCACAGTCACTGGTGACATCCCACAGACCATCCGTCCCCAGCACGAGCACGTCATCGGGGCAGTGCTCATACTGTGTCAGGTCATACACTCGTACCTGGTGGGGAAAGAGGGTGGAGAGGGAGCCTGGGGGTAAAGGGAACTGGGGCAAAGCCAGCCAGAGCCCCAGAAGAGGGAAGGTGAGGTGAAGGAGGTGCCCCTACGACTCACCTCTGGGAAGCAGGAGAGGAAGGGCTTGATGGGCAGGCTGGAACTGCAGACCTTGAGGTTGTGGTCACCTAAGCCCCGGGTTACCCCAATGGTGGCCATCACTCGAGCCTGAGTAAAAGGAGGCAGGGGTGCTGCCAAAACCGTCTCCCCGACTCTGAAACAGGGCCCCTCCCACCCCTGCCCTCAGGGAGAACCTCCACCGCCCTAGACAACTCGTGGTGGGTTCTCAGGCCCTCTCCCACCTCTACCCTGGAGTTTACCTTTTTGCCCTCCCCACAGACCAGAGGAAACCTGAGATCCTCCAGCTCGATCTTTTTGTAGGCCCTGGGGAGGGGGGAGTAGAGGAGGCATCACCCAGGCATCAAAGCCCCTCTCCCCTAGGAGCCACGCTCCTCACACAAACCCCTAAGAAGGGCCACATCCCCCCAGCTCCCAGCCTGGCCCAGCCTCCAGCTTCTACCATGCTGTTGGCCAGGGACTGATTGCGTTGCCATGGGAACTGGCCCAGCTCTGAGGGAAGTGTTACCAGCCGGTCATGTTCTGGTCCCGGTACAGCATCCTCTGGCCCAGCTCCTTGGACTGAACTCTGCGGGGGAACTCGAGGTGGGTGAACTCACCACCCAGCAGCTCTGGTTTCAGGAAGCCCTGGGGTCGGGAGTGGCCAGAGGTTTTAGGCTTACTGCAAGGCCTGGTGTCTACATGATCTTAATTATGGCAGACCCTTAAGTGGAGTTTACTAGAGCCACACACTGTCTGATATGAACAGGTATTAACTCATTTACTGCCCACTGCAACCCTTAAGGCAGGAACTACTGATACAAGTCAAGGGGATTGTCCAAAGTCACTCAATTAGCAAAGCACTGGAACCAGGACTCAATCCCAGCTCCAAGGCCAGGACTTAAAGCTCTAAACCATATTGCCTCTCAGGGCCCTCCCCACCCCTGCCTCCACTTCCTTCCTCAGCTGGGGCCACTGTGGGAGCACGGATCAGCCCACGCTCCTTCCTGCTAGTCCTCCACCAGCCACCAGCTCGGCTCTGCACTCCTCTGAAAGG